GCAGTATTTCATGAATTCCTTCACAAATGCTATCAAGATTGGTAAGGAAGCACGGCAAACGTTAATCGGCAATACTTGATTTTAGTCGTTTTTTTTGTCTACTCTATGGCGTCGTGCTTTGAATACATCTTGAAATCACTAGCATACGATACTGAACTAAGAGCAACTCAAGACGAAATTTCTCCTGTATTCAGGAACAAAGTTCTCGCAACAAGCGACATATATCTATCACTCAGGCAGAACTGTCATCATTATATTCATGCAATTTTCTCAGTATAATGAAAATAAAAGTTTCTGCCTACAAAGTTGAGCGATTTCTACTTAGGAATTGCTAGGAAGGCACTGCAGAAGTACTGTGCTCAGCTAACGTAACAGCTGTGGGATTAAAGGACCTTGTAAGAAATGCAGCAGTGCTTGGTCAGCTAAGCTTTCGTGCTCCTTGAATAATGTACGGGAACAGAATGCCTTAAAATGTTGAATTTCCTTTGCGCCATTTTTACTTTTAGTCAAAAAAAGTTTTCTTCGCGGCGATGCGGATTACGGAACTTCTTCCAGTTTTTATCGAAGGTTTGTCTGTGTGCCGTTTGTGTGTGTGTCCTTGCGTGTGTCTGTGTGTTCGTCTGTACTGATTTTTTCATCTCGAGACCTACAAAAGCTACGAGGCCGAAACTTTGGGAAATTAATCTACGTGCACGTACGGGCTTCTACCCCCAAAACGGACGCTCTTTCGCACGTTGTTCCCACGTACGGGTCGGTGGAAGCCGCTAACTCGGGAACCGGAAAGGCTAGAAAGTTCGAATTCTAAGGGGATGTTCCTCGCCCACGTTGAACTTGATGGCTTCAAACTCAGAAAGCAGGTGCACATGGCTCCCACGTAAGCGCCCGTGAAGATTTTTGGCGGCTGAGTTGCAAATTCAGGAAAAAAGAAAGCGAGAAAGCTGTAATTTTAGGATTTTTTCTGACGGTCATGGTGGCCAGTTTCAATTCTTTTACCTAGAAGCATCCGCCGAAAAAAAAAACAATGCGGTTAACGACAAAAACTTGCGGGGAGCTGTGCAAAAAATGCATCTTTGCACCGACATTCTGTGTGCTGGTCAATCATTTTGTTTTTGCAACATACAGGCAAAACGCCAAAAAAAGGTAGTTTAGTTCCTTCTGAATCACAGTAGTCACTTGTTTTAGGGCACACACGAAACTACGCTTCTCAAGCTCAGTAGGACGAAACTTATCGTACATTCCTCAAATATTTTGAACGTATTTTATAAATACGCGTTACGACTCAACCGTAAAATCTATTCTAGCAACAAAGTGAGCAATTGCTTAGATAAGTTCTCCTGGAAACTTACAGATGCGATCAATTCATTATGACGGTATTTACCACCACATCTGAAACCGTGGGGTAGACGGGCTTATTTGAATTGGTGTAGCTGTGCTGCTTATTTTGCTAAACCCTTACCGTTTTTTTGTTAGAAGATTTTTATGGGTTTACACGTCAATTGATGTCAATTTTTGAAAAGACTGTCATAGACACTGAGGCTGCATTTTGTTGGGAACAGACAAATGTGGCTGTCCTAGTATACACGAAAACATTTTTATACCCGTTTGAAAACAGGATTTTGAAACCAATCACTGCCTCGAAGGTACTATACAATAAAAGCATAAAAAAACAATTTCAAAATGCATCTTCGAGATCACAATTTAGCGGAAATACTCAGAACCACATGCCGCGCATCTCGGGGCGCCACTTCCGCTTACCAAATGTTTCCGTTCGGGACAGGAGTTCAGCGTCTAAGCAAACAGAACATCAAAGTAAAAGTTAAGAACAGTTTGGGGACTTTTCGTTCTCAGTGCCTTCTGCTATCCGCTTTACAGCATATATGATTAATACACAGTAACCTTAACCTAACCAGAAAGAGGCTTCACTGAGAATCATCAATTTACTAACCCGGTGATTTTTCGCATCCACACTTACATGCGC